CAGCTTAAGCTACAACACTAACAGTAGCAGTGGGAAAAGCCACGGAATTCAATTAGTATTCTGATTACTTTTTTCTTGATAAACTTCTCCTTCGTTATCTTCAAAATAAATGTCATATCAGTTAAAGAATTATCAATTGGAACATGTTTCATTACAGAAAAAAATTATATAGAAAGTTACGCCAAATAACAATGCACATAGTGGCTTCCGTTAAACCAAAGTCGTCCGTGCAAGACTTTTGCCTCGATTTCAACGGGATATTCGGTTTAACGCATAAATTTCTTTAATCCGAAGTCACTAATTGGCTTGAAGGACATCGGTTTAAACGATATTTATTACTATTATTATTGTCCCTAATACTGTAATTGTCTAATTAAAGCATCGTTCATGGAAAAAAAAAATTCTTTTTCGTTATTGGCCGAACTTTCGGATGCCACTGACAAACATTCAGCTACTTGCTGCATTATTATTCGTAAAATATCAACGATTAATGTATTTTTTAGCTTTGTTATGATAAGATTTGTGTTAATGTAAGTCTTTTTCCACTGGGATTAATTGATTTAACGATTATCAGAATCCGGATTAACGAGAAATTTTCGGATTAAAATCTTCGGATTAACGAAAAATCTTCGGATTACTAGAAATTCGGTTTAAACGCGACATTTTAATTAATGGCGGGCAGAAGAATATTTTTGGATGACAGATTGACGGGTTTTATTGTAAAACTTCGGATTATCACAAAATAACTGTCCATCTGGGAGCCACTATGTAATAATAATAATAATATTGTTTGAACTAACATATACCAACGCGTTGTTGTTATTATATATTAATATATATATATATATATATATATATATTGTGTCAAAAAGCCTAAACACTTGATCTAGTAACACGATTAATTGAAACCGAAATCTGTCATTCCCCACACACATTGAAATAGTAATGAAGCAGTGATTTAGTGAAGTTGTAGCAATGTATGTTAGATATATATATTTTTTGGAAGAGTACAACAATTAGCTTCATATAAATATTGATAAAAATTTATAGTTATTTACATGGTAAAAACAAACAATACTAATACTAATACAGATTTTGAAAAATTAGTACCCATCATATATCATAATCAGATACTCTTGTTGGTTCTAGTTCTAACCAATCTGCAACATGAGTACATCTATTATGTAATTGTGCCATCTCTTGTATATTTGTCAATGAAGAGTATTCTATCCATTGTAAATAGGGATCGTCTTCAGAAAAAAGATTCTTCCATATCCATGATTCCATTATAAACGCGTCTAAAGACCTGTTGCCTGTGCTTCAAATGGTGATTTACACTCATAACAGTATACACTTATCTCAGTTCTTAACTGTGTCTATATCGTCATCTTAGCATACGTTGTACATGAATCCAAACTAAGCTTAATGCTGCGAACATAATGCAGGCACGATCAGGGACCTGAAATCCACGTGTTGATCAAGACACGTGGCAACTTGTAGCATTGTCAATATAAACTCTCCTCTATAATAAAATTTGTTACCGACTCGATGCATAATGGCATCAAATGTTTTCTCAAAATATAGTTCTTATCACTGTTCGTGTTGGCGTCATAATTGTCGACATTACTGCTGTTACCGTTGTTGTTATCACGTTCACCACTTCCCTCTTTCAGTCTCATCTCGGCTCCTTTTTTCGTCTCCAGCTCGCGAAACTTTCTAACGATCCTCCTAACTTCGGTGCTACT